TTTCTTTAGTGGTAAAATTCAATTTTGATAAGAAAAAACCGTGTAAACATATTCCGGAATGTATTATTATATACACATGAATGTATAGGAGAATCGACCTTTTTTTTTTTTTGTTTTTCGTACTAGCGTTTCAGCCAGGTACGAAAAGGTTGACAATTTATAAACATGTCATATTACATTATTTTGGTTATTGATGTTTTGGTATAATTATTATTATTGTGTTTATGTGTACCGAAGAAAACCGTGCCGAAGAAAACTATTATCAACTATCGTCGTCGTATACTATTAATATAACATTGTTCGTCATAAGGACAATAAAAATTCGGTATCAGATTGTTAGAGCTAACGTGCATATAATCCATAAACGTAATTATATTGTTGATATTCGTTTTCAGATCCTCAGCGTAGAATAGAAAAGCTATTACATTTTTATTTTAAAATGTGCTTTTTTTTTTCTCGGAAGCTACTGTTTTGATTCATAAAAATGCTCCGTAATTATTCGTATCGAATTTTAAAATGTAAACTTTTTCACCAGCTGATAAATTATATTTGAAAAATTGTTTCAGAAGCACATACATTTTTCTAAAAAATTAATAAAAAACGACGATAATTCAGTTTTATTTTTGTGAATTTCTATAGAATTAACATTGGCTACAAGAAGCGAACCTTATATTTCTACAACGGTGGCCCACCCTTCGTACGGAGTATGTTAGTATTTTTTTCCGATTTATATTTTAAAAAAATACATGTACTTAGCTCTTTGTCTTAGAAATATTTTCATCTATTTTACTATATATATATATATATATATATATATATATATATATTAGGTATTTTATCTCAAAAAACTATTAAAAAGTAACATTTGTTTGTTACCAAATATTTGTGATTTTACCAGTAAAAATCGTTATCGCACGATACTCTAAAATAGTAACATAGCCAGGAAATTCGTGATTATAACTATGACGTTGAAACATTTTATTTGAGTGTTCATTTATAGAAAATATACTTATTTTCAAGTGAATGAGATTATTGTTTATATACAAATTAAACACCCTACCATCTGTCCTATTTATTTTATTTTTTTTTTTTTTGGCCACACCACTACTCTTAGATCATTGAATAAATAAGGTATAGACATTTTGTGATGCGAATATCATTATAACTATATTACTATTTTCTTGTTCCTTTGAACCGAAATCATTTAAATTCCAAAATACCTTGAGTTTCTTGGCCAACAGTTATTTCTGCCATGCGAAATTCTATAAAAGCAATTTGATTCAGTCCAAACTGAAAAACACGCTCAACCATAGTGTACAATTTAATAGAAAATAAAACAATTTATGTTCATTTTGATAACCGTTAAAATTTCTAAGTATAATTTTTTATAAAGATCTATAGATTTTGTACGTTGTTCGTTATAAGTTGAGTGAGAGTTTTTTGTTTTGTCTTCTATTCCGCCTTCATTACAACTATTCGTAGATGGCTACCCACGTTCTATAGTTCCACGTGACCGCATCTCCCACCTCGCATACACCGACTGTTCTCTTATCACTCTCAATCGCACCCAACCACATCTTCGTTGGTGTTCCTCTACTCCTCTTTCTCCAGTGTTTATTTTCATTACAACCATCAATATTTAAGATAATTTTCTTCGTGATATGCCCATCTCAGTTTATTTTTAACATTTTTCTGCTATTCAAGCCACATCTAGGCTACCTCTTACGTACTCATTTCTGTTTTTTTTGTTTTACGTAAAAATCTATTGTTATTTGATGCGTAATGTATGCTAATACATCACTGATGGCATTTTGAAGTGCGTATGAATTTCGACAAATCATAATTAAAAATTGTTTAGCATACCTATTAATGCAAAGGTATTTAGTTGACAATATTATTTTAAGGCATTTTTACAAATTGTAGATTTGTGCGCTCATTAAAGGCAGTGTGTATAATGATACATTTTTTTTATATTCCTACATAGATAAAAGATAATAATTGTCAGAAAAATTATTATATAGATGAAAAAAAACATTAACAACTTTTTATATAAAATTAAAGAAAGATAACATTTTTATAATAATTATTGGCTATCGACTTCATACAACTATAAGTGCTTTTCAGATACGGAACGCATCTAAATTTCAAAGATGTCGTCTATTATTATAATACAAATATTTTAACTATAATTTCTAACAAACACGTAGTATTATATAGGTACTCGTATTTTACTAATTATAGTTTAAAAAGAAGAAGCAATGTAATTATTTATCCCGGATGATTTTTGATATCTTTTATCCAGATAATGTAAGAGATAATATAAATATACGTGTCTATGTAATACAAAATAAGGATTATAACGTTTTTAAATCGTTGTATTTCTTTCAGAAATATTACAATACATAATAGTTATTATATTTCAGATTCTAAGCGGAATGAAGAAGCTTATGGATTTACAGAAATATTAATTATTTTTATTTATTTTTCTGTGGATAACTTTTCTTACTATCAAATTTGCGTTGATTTAAAATGATGGCACTTTTTCTGAAAGAAAATCGGGCTAGGGAGATACTTTAAGGAGGTTATTTTTTGATTTTCCCACAAATTGCCCCAACAAATAGGAAGACCCGGAAAAAACGGGAAAATTTACGAAATTTAGGCCGGTAATAGTAAAAAATATTACTGCCTTTTTTTTCCTGTAAACAACTTTTATACTAGAAATTTTGCCCTGATTAACAAGGATAACACATACTTAAAAAGGAAATCTGACTAGAGAAGTACTTTAGGGAACTCATTTTTTTAATTTTTCAGAAGTTTTCCCAAAAAATTGGAAAAACTGGGAAAACGTAGGAAAAACGGGAAATTAGATACAATATTTAACAAATATTATAAGAGAAAAAATATAATGCATATGTTATGCAAACATCCTTTTACCATGATATGAACTATATATTTTTGACAAAACAACACTATCAACCCGTTGTTCGCTCAGAATCGTATTTTCGTTACCAATGGTTAATCCTTAATTACAGAGATACATCAAATTCCCACCTACAACAGTAGCTGCACTCTTCCTAGGACAGATTTTGTTTTAATTTTCTTTATTGCTTTCTATCTTATCTCTGCATTTTTTTTACTAAATATTTTATTTCGTTGCGAGTATAAAACTGGAAAATTTCTTTTCTACGTAAAGAAACAGTGAACAAATTTAGAACTTAATGTAGGTATATACCTATACTATGTGAATTTTTTTTAAAAAAAAATGAAAAAAATGAATAGCTCCCGTATAGTTTTTCTCGGTTATCATTTATATATTATATCATTTAAAATTGTTAACTAAATACCTAGTGAATGATTATTTAAGTACATAAAATAATAAATAATATTATAATTAAATTAGTTACCTGCCTAACATAATGTGTTATACATTACTAGATCGTGATAAATTTCAGGCATCGTTATATGGTATAAATTAAAGNTTGACATAACTCTGTTAGAAACACATAAGTGAAAGAATAAGATGTTCGTCAAATTCGTCAACATTAGTTTCATAAGAGTACCCTGCCATAATTTTATTCTATTCTATTTTTTATTCGAGGATATTTAAACCAATTTGCGCTTCCATTATGTCTCGACACGCCTCTCTATCCAGTACAAACCTTTCTCCATCTCTAATTTCTAGAAGCTTCAAAAATTCATTAATACGGTCGCTGCACCACTTACTTGGTCGTCTTCTCGATCTGTTTGTTCTGGCTTCCACATTGTAACCTTGTTTTTAATTCTATCCAATGCTCCCCATACATATTTTGCTCAGCAAAATCTTCTAATTTTTAGAACACCTATTCGATAGTGGTTTTAACATGAATATGGGTACCAGTGAGAAATTGTACTTATTCCCAACTATTATTCTGCGACGGATTTCTTCACGTCTACTCCAATATATTTGTCTATATGTACTATTTAAAATATTATATCTACCACGGGAAATGAATTTTGGTGACGTTGCCTACCGTGATGCAATATTAAGTGTTTATTCTTGTCTTTGTTGATGTTTAGTTCTGTACTTTTTCGTTCCTCTAAAAGTGTTTATTTCCTGGGTTTCTTACTTGATCTACACCACCATCACCATATTTTGGTCCCCAAATTTCAGACTTACAGAAGATGAGAATTTAGAAGGTTAAGAAATTTGTTTAATTAATATCTATAAGCAACGATAAACTATTGCTAATAAAAAACGATTAGGATTGAAATTTGATTAGATATTAGATATGATCAATAAACCAATGCTTATGACAAAACGATTCTGAGCGGAGTTCAATAGATAGTGATATTTATCAGCAAAATATATGTTATTTTATAGTAAAATAATTCAATAAGCTTTATATATATTTTTTAATAATATTTTTTTAATATTGTACCAGTCCTCCCGATTTTCCTACGTTATTTCCGGTTTACTTATATTTTTCCCTTTTTTTCAAATTTTTTTGGAAAAACTATTAAAAATATCAAAAAACGACCACGTTAAAGTAACCCCTAGTGAAATTACCTTTTAGAAACATTGCTGTCATTAAAAGTTGGAGTAAAATTCCTGGTTTAAAAGTTATCTATAGGAAAACAAAATCTTAAGATTGTATTTATTATATTTCATAAAAATTCCCGTTCTTTTTCGGTTCTTCCACCATTTTAATTAAAAATCAGTACGCGAAATAAACTAATTTTTTGATTTTAATAAAAATTTGAATCAACTTATTATTGAAATAATCATTTATACATTTATAATTACATAAATATTAAATATCATTTAAGTAGGTCACAGAAAATATTACGTAGACCGTTTCTTAAATAAAGTGCACTTTATTTAAACAAGTGCTAACAGATGTGAGCCCGGATAACAAATTGTAATACCTACTCGATAATAAATAATAACTAAGAACGTATTTTTAACAAACTGTTTTTCGGTCTAATATTTAGTCTTTATTTAGTGTATTGAACAGTTTAAGATGATATTGCAAATGCTTATAGTATCAGCACAAATACTTCTAGTTTTCAATGAAGAGATGTTAAAAACATCTAAAGAAATTGAACATGAAAATACTGTATCCATATTTTACACTAATGAATTCGTAAGTAGTGAATATTATACTAACAAACCAAATATGATTGAAAACAAAACAAATATCTTACAAGCGTTTGAGGACAGTTTATTTTTGATATTCGCTCAATTATATAATTATTATGCATCAGTGTTTCCTGCTGAAAAAAAAGTTAATAATTATTGTCGTACATTGAAGACCAATAAGAGCAATGTATATGAGTTGAAAATACGAAAAGACTATGTGCTAAATATATGTTCACATATTTTTCGATGCATGGATTATTTGTACGTTAGCAGTATATCCAGAACTGCAAAACTGTTCAACATGTACAAATCGTATGGCAAGCTTTGTATTTCAATGCAAACATTTATGACAAAAAAATGTGTGCAATCGAAAGTTACTGATAAGGCAATAATTATTATTTGCCACGTCCTCAAGTTACGTTCCATGTTTATAAATATTGAAAAATTTAAAAAGCCACCCGAGAAAGTATGCCGTGAGTACCAAGAAAACACGGTATACCAAGATACTGCTACGAAATTTATGTTATCTGAATACGAACTCATGAGTGATATTGATTGGACGACAACATTTAGTATTGCTAGTGCCACATACGATATTTTTAACCAAACGCCATCACAGGATGTTCTAAATAAACCAATAGTACGTCAACAACTATTGGTTCAATACGATACTATAGAATTAGAAAAGGTGTTAAAAAGATACAGTATAAAGTATACTAATGACATTAGTACCACTGAATGTGCACCTGTGCCAATTACTGATCAGCATGAAACATATATTTTGGTAGGTCATTTAATAATCTATACGCTCCAGAGGCTTGAACAGCATTTAACATTTATACTTAAAAACTCCAATAAAACCAAATCCCGATTAAACAAGGACCAAATCGATCAAAATGTGTTGAGACCATTTAAAAAGTTATGTGATTTTGTTCCGGAAATTCTTCTGTATTTGTTCGAACATGACCCCAATTGCTTGACTGATACAACTTTATTTAGTTTGTATTTGTCACTTTGCGGAAATAATATGGATTTTATCGTTTTCCGTTGTCCCTCTAAAAACGATAGTGAGTTGGAGAACAAACCGTTATATCAATATAAATGTACTACGAAAGCAATAAGAGAAAAATTGCTGTGGAATTTTTATAGTCGAACTGGAACAATTTTAAAGGAAGATGAATATACGACAAATTCAACTATTAATAATGATTGTTCAGAGTTAAATTACAAATATATTAAGGATATTTCCACTACCCTTACTGATTTCTACAATAACAAAA